CAGTTCTTGACATATGCTGAAGAAACAAAAAGGGTGAAATTTGAGTGGAATGTTGTATTCACAGGCATCACATGCTAGGTATAACCATAGCACTGAAGATTATATAGGCCTTGACATCAAGTAGAATCTGCTTGCAGTGCAAAATTAATATTAAAACAAATGTAATGGCTTGAGATCTGTTTTATGTATTTGAAAGCTAGTTGTTATGGTACAATTGCACAGATTCATTCACTGTGAGGAACTAAATAGATATGCTATTATAGAGAGTATAATATATTTAGCATAGAGGGTCAACAAACACTCCATCTATAAATGTACTTAATATGTTATACTAGTATATACATTAACATCCTTTAATTTAGGAGGTTTATTATCTTGGTATATTAATTGATATTCAACTGCTATAATAGGGATATCAGAGTTTCTTCTAGATCTTGTAGCTGGCACTAGTATGCCAGGACTTGGTTATTTATGTTCTAGTTAAACTATGACAGGTATGTTTTCAGTGAATGTAAACACTGATCTGATATAGGTGAAAAATTCCCCATATGCATATGACTGAAAATACTTGAATTCCAGTTCCAGCAGGGAGAATCTTTCCCACTGTAGAAATAGATGTTTAATTTATTTTTCTTTATTGTTTTGCTTTAGCTATATGTATAGAATGGTGAATGATAATTTGTTTCTGATGAAGCTGATGTCTTATTGTCTTTAAAATTCCTCACAGTAATTACTGGAAGCATGAGGGGGTTGGACTGCAGATCTGAAATTAATCTGAAGCTTGAGAAAACCAATAAATAATATTTAATCTTAAACTGATGTACTTAAATGAGTTCCAGTTAGAAAACAGTCGATTATGGGCATGATACAGTCAAGAATTAGGCACTGGTTTCTCTGTAGTTGTGTTCAGTTTATAAATTTTTCAATATTGATACGAATAAAAAGCTTTGTTAGTGATGATGTCTATATATTTGGTTCTAATAATTCATCTAGAGTGACAGTATAAGATTTTGAATGAGACTTGAATTAAAAGAAATACACATTTAAGCCACATTTGAAATAAGTAATACAATTTCATCATTAATGGGTCAAGTAAGTTAATATATGTGCTTTATAGCCTTTGAATCTTCATACAAGATACTACTTAGTTATGTTACTGAAACAAATGAGAGATCAGTTTTGCCCTAATACTGTCTTGATACACCTGACAGCAAATTATTATCAACTTAGGCTAAATTATAAAGGAATGTTTGAAAGAACAAGATACAATCATTCATATTCAAGTGCTTTAGTTTTACAGTTGAAGTTTGCAGAATTTCATCAATTCTTGCTCCTCTAAATCCTAATCCTATACTGTAATAAAATCTTTTGAAATGTCTGCTTGTGACTTTCAAATAATCATGTATGCCTGATGGGATGTTTAATTTTTAACTTTCTGAATTAATATGTGATCTTATATAGCACATCTGTTACTGGTATTATTCATTAGAATAATGAACCTAAGACATCTTTTTAAAAAAAAAAAACCAGCAACATGTTCTTCTATATTCATTCCGAGGCAATCTTAAAGTAAGGGTATATCACTTATGTTCTGCATAATTATCCAATACTGAAATCCTTTTCCTGTCCATTTGGGAAAAGGTACTGCTGAATTCAAGAGGGTTTATTCCTATATAGGTGTGGAGAGAATTGGAGCCCTTTACCTAATAGGTAATACTTTTAAGTTTCAATAGACCTTTCAGAAAACAGAGAAACATATGTAATTACTGAGCCTGTTGCTAACTTTTGTTTGTTTAAATTTATTGGCTGCCCAATTCTAGTGGACTCTTGGGTTTTCTTGGGTTCATAATAAATACTGTCAGGTTCCAAATAAAAAATACAGACAGACTGCAATTCTCTATGCACTTTAATTAATTAATTAATTAATTAAAGCAGCCCCTTTAAACTTTGAGGCTTATTTCTGAATAAGCCTCCAAGATGTACTAATCTCCTAGTAGAACATCTTCCATTTCTGTTCCATAATGCAGACGATAAAATGTTTCCAAAATGGATTGTTTCATTTTGTTGGAGTAATAGTTCCTTGAAACTGGAATTTCCACTGCTGAATATTGCTAATATAAATATATTGAACCACAAGGCACTTAGAAATGAAACAAAACTATTTTACCTGCATAAAAAGTTTGTAAAAAATAATTTAATGATAGTTCTAGAACTAGAACGTTTCCCATTAGAATTAAATTGTAAGATATTTCATTTTGATATAGTTCAATCTAAAACAGAAGAGCTATCATAACTTTTTCCTAATGCTGACTTTTTCATCCTCCCAAAGAAGTGCTGCAGAACCTGCTTCCAGTTGTCTTCACGTGTACAAGAGCTATCATAACTTTTTCCTAATGCTGACTTTTTCATCCTCCCAAAGAAGTGCTGCAGAACCTGCTTCCAGTTGTCTTCACGTGTACAAGAGCTATCATAACTTTTTCCTAATGCTGACTTTTTC